GAAGATGTTCAGAGGGTTGAAGATAACGATGATAAAACAGTTTTATAAAGACTCAAAGAAGTTCAACCATCCTTTATTCGACTAACATGGAAAGAGCGAGACATTGCTCATAAACAAGAGACACGCTGAATAAAGAACAGCTCTGTTTAATATTTATGTTTTTGTGCGCAAAATCATCTGATCGATACTGTGAGAACTCACTCTGGTCAAACTGCTGCACTGAAGAAATATGTTAATATATATAATGTATATATATATATATATATACATATATATATATTTATGTATATTATTTATATATATGTATATTATATATATATATATAAATATGGTCTGCGTGGAGACATGAAACACTGTTGAACATATCGAGAGTATTGGCAGCACAGAACCAGAAACACTTATTATTATTATATTTATTATTATATTTAATAATTCAGAAGCAGAAGTGTGAACTGTTCTCCTTCTCCTTCTGAAAGTTAATGCAATAAATAAACAGATAAACGTTTATTTATTCTGTGTAACAGCTGTTAATGTTTACTCTCTCTCCGGCTAACCGGAAGCAGCGGCGCACCGTCCGACGACGAATATTGTAGTTCTTTGTATTTTAAAGAACTACAGATTAATACAAGAGAAGAAAACAAACATCACCTCGTCCTGTAAATACGCCATTGCGATGTCTGTCGCGGTTGCAGCGGAGTTTACATCCGCAGCGGCTCCCACAGCGGCTGCAGCTCCCTCCGCCATCACGGACTCTTCACCGTAACCAGCAAAAACAACCACAGATGTAAAGTTCCGCCTCGTCGACCTTAAAACAAAAAGGCGTCTTTACGTTCATTAACTTCAAATATTAATACGATTATAAACAGAGGGGGATTAATAAACACGAACAAAACGAGTCCGGTCAGTTTTATATCAACGTAGCTTTATATTTGTTTATTTTAACCGGTTGTTTAACTTTCCGGTCGGACAGGTTTAAAGTGATGGACTGACTTCCGTTCGCGAAGAGGGTCAAACTCTCGCGAGATCGGTGAGACTTCCTCTTCGCGCGGAACCTGCTTCCAAGATGGTGAGTGGATTTTACACCGACGGGAATATTTCACTAATCCTTAAACATCTCGCTTCAAACTCACTATTTTATCACAGTGACACTAATGGGGAGGTTAGTACACGTAGAGCGAGCGGAGGGATGTTGAATTGTTGACTTACTAACCGCAGAAATGGAGATTTTAACGCAGTTTGGTGCTCGGCGCTGAAGCGGGCTGTACGGTGCAGAGTGCCGCTTCATGATTCATTTATTCTCGGTTTAAATCAGAGTTAATGTCCGGTTACAGTTGATCTTCTCTGCCAGAGTTAATCATAAATTACAGACACATTATCAGCTGAGTTACCCGCCCTGAGTGGTGTCATCACGTTGTGGGGGGGGGCAGAGAGAGAGAGAGTTACCCCGGGGTAAACGCTCTTTAGTGGGGCAGGTAAAGTGCTGCAGGCTCTCTGGATGTTTCACAAGCTGCTGGTTAAAGTGCTTAAAGCTCCGATATGTTTGTGTTATCTGTTGTAGATTCTTTCTTTCTCTTGTACATAGTGTGTTTTATTTATTATTTTTTCCTACTCGTACTGTTTGTATACTGTTTCTTTTCCTCTATCCACTTTGCTGCTGCAACACCGGAATTTCCCCATTGTGGGACAAATACAGGAATATCTGATCTGATAACTAAAGCTAACTAACGTGTCTGTCTGAAAACCCAGCAGAGGTTAAATGTTCAGAAGTAAAGTTATTCCCTCCAAATGTTCCAGAAATACATCAATAATATCAATAATTAATCAATAAGTTAATCACATGATCTGTAACGTGTTGAAGGTAAAGTGTGTGATAATGTTCGTTCTGTTTTCAGTCTCTCGTCCCCGAGAAGTTAATAAATGTTTAGTAGTAAAGAAGTTGTTACATACATTAATAACATTAATATCAATAATTAATCAATAAGTTAATCACATGATCGTTCTGTTTTCAGTCTCTCGTCATCCCCGAGAAGTTCCAGCACATTCTTCGTGTTCTCAACACGAACATCGATGGACGGAGGAAGATCGCCTTCGCCATCACCGCCATCAAGGTGAGTTTCCCTGTGAGGCTGTTTCTTCCC